ACAGCTGCTTGGGCGCATCGAGTTAGCACCATCATCACGCTCAGTCTCATGATCTGTGTCCAGAGAGCCCTCGCCAGAGGCGGCACGGCTCCTTGCTTGCAGGCTCAATCTTTTCCCATTCAGAAGCAGAAGTTGCCGCTGCTGCATCACTCCGACGCTTCTCAAAGACCATCGTGAAGGACTCAGCTTCAGAAGCAGCCTCGCCCTGCACAGGCGGACTGGGCTCTAGGCCTGCTGGCACAGAGAGGTCAGGCTTCACAGTTTCAAAACCTGCCTCGAGGGCCCTGCGCCTGAAGTTGAGGGGGCTGACAAGCTCATTGCCTGCAACCAGAAACAAAGGTGTTGCAGCCACCTGGACGGTGGCCAGGAAGGTGATGGGCTTCACTGGCGACATCCTAAACTGCGATCTTGGAGGCGTTGACTCAAGGTCGACTATGTTGCGCAGAGTCGCCACATACTGGCCAGCAACTTCTGCTTCCCAGCCCAAACCTCTCATCAACACCAACACAAGTAGTGTGGCGCTGCGGTGTGCTCCGTTGCGGCAAGAAATCAAAACATTCTTGCCTGCCCTCAAGGCATCCCAGACCTGGTCCAAGACCTCAACCACACGCTGCATGTCGTAGCTTCCATTGCAAACCCCGGTGCCGTCAATACACTCCAGGACCTGGACACTCAAGGAGTCCACAGGTTTCGGGGTCCTGCAAGCTGGCCAAATCACAGAGATGTTGTTGGCTGAGAGCGCTGCTGGATCTGTGGAGGCATTCTCTCCACCCAGGAACAGCTTTCCATAGCCACTCCCTTCTCCCAAGAACTCTGCGTCCAGAATGACATGCAAAGGGTGCCTGCCAGGCAAAATCTCAAAACCGTTGAAGAGAGGCTGCTGGAAAAGGCTTGCTAAAAAAAAACAAACGCTTTTGTCACAAAATGCACAACACTACAACCATAACAAGTTCAATAAGAAAATTGAACCAATGAACATGGATGAAAAAAATAAAGCTGCGGGCCTTTGGTTGTAGGCTTGGCGAGCGACTCTGGTCACCTCCACGCCGCCATAAGTGTCACACACCAGCATCCGGAACATCTTGTCCATGGCGACTTTGAAGCCAAACTTGTCCATTTTTGAACCAGGCCAGAGGCCGCGGGCAGCTGTCCGCCTCTGGTCGTCACGCAGAAACAGCTTGGACAGCCCTTCACGCCGCGCCTTCTTGAAAAGACCGTCCAGAGAGTCCATGTCAATGCCCGGCATGGGACAAGAAGGTCTGGGTCTGGAAACTGCGCACTCTCTGAACTAACTTGAACCAAACTCTTGGATCAAAGGACAAGAAAGCTATGAGACTATTTGATACAAATTGGCCAGTCCACCTGCCTACCCTAACTTTAACCAACTGTAAAAAAGTCTTGCAAGGTAGAAATAGGAAATTATATAGAACATGAACAGTTTTCAAGCGACTGTCAACCAACCCAGGTAAAGCCCCGTGCTTCAAACGACGCCCCCTCTTGCCCAAACCCTGGTCCTGTCCAGTGGCCAGCAAAGAAGTCCAGGAAGTCATTGGCAGCTTGTTGGCGGCGACCTGGCACAGAGGCCTGCTCCATGCTGGTGGCCATGACCAGCTCCAAGAAACTGCGCTGGGCAACCTTCACATCGCTCCACTCCTGGAGTAAGTCAGCTGGCACGGCATCAAGAACCACAAGCCTTCTTGCCAGCATGGCTTTGACCTTCTCGGACACTTTTTGCATAACCTTACCTTTCTGCAGAGTTTTGGCGACAGCAAAGGAACCTGGCAAAATGCCCAGCAGCTTTGTTGCTCGCTCCACAACATTACCATTCCGGTGCTGCGCGCACAACGTCGGGAGGAGCATGTGGTTCTCCTCTAAAGTGTAATTCAAATGCCTCAGAAGTCTCAAGTTAGCTGAAAAAAGCGTCGCAAGTCACCATCGTGCAGCGAAATTTGGCACTAGCAGCATCTGGACCAGGCCTGAGGCCACCAGGCCCTTGGCTCAATGAAGCAAACATCGTTTCTGCTGTTTTATCCAGCAACGCTTGAGGATTTCTGATGACATCAAGATCCTGCACACCATCTGGGCCACCATAGCTCACTTGTGCATGAGATGCTAGGATGGACCAATCACCAGGACCAAAATCCTCCAAGGCTACTTCGAGCTCTGTTTCGTCGAACATGAGGTTCAAAAGGCAAAAGGTAAGCTGACCGCCATCACCCCATTTCGCCTTTGCTTCTGCGGCTGCCCGGGCCAGCCCTTGTGATTGGACTTGGTGCAAAGCCTGGGCTACAAAACAGCGGGCCATAGAACAATGGCTAGCGTGCTCTGCGACCTGCCTCAATGACAATATCTCATTTGCAAAAGCCGCCCTGAGAACTGCCTCGCTAGTCCAAGATTTCCATTTGCCTGAGCCAGGCCTTGCACCCGGCCTGAGGCCCTGTCCAGAGAGCGGCAGCATGTGGTCGCTGGTTCTATTCCGGCCTTTGCTGTTGTTGCTCTGCATCTGTCTTTTGAGCCGCCGGTCTGCCAACTGCTTCTTGCGGGTCCGGTGCTGCAGCTTTCTCGCACGTTCAGCAGCTTTGGCTATCCGCTGCTGAAGCGAAGCAACAGGCCTACCTCGACTTGGTCTTTGACCTGCATGCCGCTCAGCCACAGCAGCCAGCCCGTGGCTAAGAATGCCCAACCCTAAGCATCCCAGAGTTCCTACAAGCCTGCTAGCAAGGTGCTAGCAAGCAGGGAAAAATGCAACTTGTGACTTGAGCAAGAATGATGTTTCGCACACAGTGAAGGGGGGAACAGCTGTCTAATCTAGCGTCCAAAACATCTGACTTACACTTATGGAGACCCAGGCTGAGGTGCTTGGGTTTGGCCATGCTGGTGGGACCGAAGTTCTAGGGACCTGAAGCTACATGAGCATGAGGGGGACATGGCCCAAAAGCGTCCCAACACCAGTCAGTGCAACCTCTGCTTTTGGCACCCCTGCCTGGTGCACGAGCCTCATTTTGCTGGGCAACCTGCAGCTGCACAACACTGTTGCAGGCCCATTGCCCAGCCTGCGGCCCTTGAACCTGGCCTGAGGCCGAATAAAACCTGGCCTGAGGCCAACGCCAACATGAATTGAGTGTTCAGTTGCCTGCATCATCAGCAGACATGAACCCCTCAGAGGCATCACTATATGATGCCTTTATGCGGGAGCGCAGGGGGCTGAAACGCTCACAAAAGAAGTAGCACACAGTGCACCAGCCAATCAGCGCAAACACACATAGAGCTGCAAACCATGGCGTCTCCAAGCAAATGCACTTGCACATTGCAAAAGCATAGCGGTGGTCATGAAAACACATTGGATTGAAATCCTGAATGTCCAGTGTGGGAACATACCTGACCTCTTCTGCCATGGAAGAAAGCACATGCTGACATGGTTCTCAGACCCTTCTTGGACCAGAGTCTAGAAGCGGTAGCACAGCAGCAACAAAACACACAAATGCAAACAATTATCAAGAAATTGTTTCCACAAAAGAAAATCATGAAAACAATTTCTCAACAATTGTTTTAATATATTTTAACAATTAAAACAATTGTCAAAACAATTGTTGAAACAATTTCCAACCTTCAAAAGAATATTTCGCTTGTTTGTTTTGGCGTCCTCATCACCGGAGGTTTAGAAAACATTTAAGATTTGATGCGCCTGTTTTCCTACGCTTTCGGTATTTCTATTGCAGGGGGGGCAGTGAATCTCATTCCATCCACTGCCCAACGAAGACGGTGGTTTGAGATTGTGAAGCGAGAAGGGACGCCTTCTTGTGCACCTGCAATTTTCCACTTTCCGTATGGCAAGAGGCCAAGCCAAGAACCTCGATACTCAGATGTCTTGTTGTTTTTTCTTTGCACTGCAGATGCGAGCGGAACGTCGTCAGCCTGTTCGTTCGTCGTTCGGCTCCTTCCTCTTTGGGCCACCTCTCCGTTTGAAGACCCCCAGGTTTCGCTGGTTCCCTACTGGTACTCTTAGGAAATGGAACCCTAGGCCGGCGTGT